ATGTTATATTATAATCCCAAGCAGAACATGAATTATCAAAATGACGTCAAAATGATTTCAAAATACAGATTAGTCACTTTTCAATCAGTTATTCATTTGAACATTATTTTGAAGTTATTGTGACTTGTTGTTCTGCTTGGGATATTACAAGTTTCTATACTGTACAAATTCTTCAACTTTAAAAATTAAAAATACTATTGTTAAGTGCTTTTAATATTGAATAATAATGTTTGTAATTCAAAGTAAGCAATTAATTACTTCCAGTATATTAAATTAAATTTTTCCAGCAAACATCAACTAATAATAACATCAATAACTAATATTTGTTATAATTTCCCCGATGCACAATATAACTGTAACACATGTCGTACATAACAGTTAAATTGTTGAGCGAGAAATTATCTATAATTGGAGTTTGCTGGATCTATAAGGGCTGCCAGTATTGAACCAGTAATAAGCCGGTATTTAATAATTAAGCATTGGCCAAATAATCGTTGAAATACTGTTAGTACTTTACCACTGTAAATTTCTACTAATTCTCAGTATTAATTTCTACAAGGGGTGTCTATATATGAACATGTACAGATGTACATACGTATCTACAATTACAATTATAGCAGCTTCGATCTCGAGGCGGAACTATGGTAAAGATTATTCTAGTTCCAATCGCCGATTGCTCGTTTAACGAGGGCAAACATGAATATGCGAAGAGAGGCCGTATAGGGAGCTGTAAAAAGGCTTGTTTGAAAGGAAAAAAGAGCGAACGGCGGTGTAATTTGTGCTATGCGATGCGCTGAACGCGTAAAGTAACGATATGCCCACTGTGCGATTACTGAAAATTAGTTGGTAGCTCTCGGGGGTCTCTCTGTTGTTATCTAATTTTACGGGGTACGGCGAGGGATCGTCTCGTGTGCGGCGAGAGATGTCGCCGATTGTTTTTGTCAAACCATCTTAATTAATTAAATAAGCAGCGAGTAACACACATTATTTATTGCGGTTAAAGTGTGGTGAATTTTAGGGAAGTTATATGCAATTACGTTTCGCCGAGTGCAAGAAGTTAATAATAAAGAAATTAATAATAAAGAGGAAGAGAGGAAAAAAAAACAGAAAAAAGAAGGATTTGTTTCTCACGACGTGCAATCAATTAACCGAGTGTGAAGAGCGACACTTATATATAATAATCATATGGACATTAAAATTAAAATAGAGGTAATGAGTGGGAAGAGAGAGAGAGAGAGAGAGAGAGAGAGAGAGAGAGAGAGAAATTAAACTGTGGATTTTAAACTTGCGAAAGTCTAATTAAACGTTAAATAAATAAAGTACACGATTATTCACAGCTGTCGAACGAGTGTGAATCGATTCTTTTTTTCTCTTTTTTTTTTGTTTAATTCGTTCACTTACCATGCTTTCGATCTACACTTTTTCGAACAGTCGTTTTCCATCCATCGCCATCCATCGTTTTTTAATTACGTTTCCAATTACTTTCGCATTAAATGCGCACAAAAAGTTGAGGTAGTTCTTAATGCACTGATTTTTCAATCGTTCAGTTTTCATGTGCGAAGGAGATATACGAGAAATGTATCTCTACGTCTGAAACAAAAGAGTTGCTGGACATACACAGCAAATTATACATACATATTTATATGTATGTATATGTATAAGTAATTATAAATAAAAATATGAATATATGAATGCGAATATAAATATGAACATAAATGCAACTATAAATATGAACATATGAATAATATGAAATATAAATATAAATACGAATATACATATGAACATAAATATATAAATATAAAGACAAATGCAAATATAAGTATATAAATACAATTACAGACATTAGATATAAATATATATATATATATATATAATGCAGTGAAATATTTCGCATTAAATGATCGGGACACTTATTTTTTTTCTCCACATAATAATTCTCCTATCGAAGCAAATAAAATACAAAGCATGCATGTATTTCGCTTTCAATCTATGAAATATTTTACAGCATTCATTAAAATGGGTTACTCTGTATCTATATAGAAGATACTGTTAGAAAGATCTTGTTAGAAATTACGTACCTCGTTTGAAACTTCGTTAACACGAAATCGTTAACTACGCAATTATGTATCGTCAGTATAAAGTTAAAGAATTTTGGCGAATTAGGCTTCGAGAAAATGTACATACCTTCATTAATATACATAAATCGTGTTGCACGGCCGACGGTGAATTTTAACAGAGAGAGATATTTATTATTTAAGAGCCCAGTCGCGCCAAAATTATTTAATGCTGCAAATCAAAAAAAGAGACCAAAGTTCAGTCAACTTAAAAAATTTGACTGCATTTCAATGTCGTCGAGTGCACATTTCTTCCGAGATTCGCTACAACATATGAATGCATATTCATATATTCATGTACATGCGCGCGAATTATTAATTCGTAAATAACATAGCTTTAACGTACTTAAGAAACTGACAACTGATTTTTGAGATTATGCTTAAATATTTCCTCCTAGGAGATATACGCAATTACCCTCATTGATAATTTCATAATAATTGTTGATAAATTGCGATTTAGAATAGCGATTGACTTTCGCGATCGATGCAAATGATTGCTTTGAGAGATACGAGATTTAGGTTTGTCTAAGCTTGAATTTATATAGCAGATGATTGACACGTTGATTACCACATTGCATATTATCGCGATTTTTAACGTTATTTAAAGAATTCGTCTTATTTTCCTGATGAATACCGCGCTCTTTAAATCGCGAATCTGATCGCTTTACCAATTTTTCTAATCCGAAGTTTTTCTATCCTTATTCCGCCTGGAATCAGCGTGTTAATGACACATCTCGATGATAATAATTCGCGAATTGTTAGCGTAATTTAAGGTTTAGTTTGTTATTATAGAAAAGGGAGGCGATATAGTGTTCCACGTTATCGCGATCCTGATTTGTTACTTATTAAATAAGCTTCGACGGTAGTATACAAAAATGTCACAGATAAGAAACGACAAGGAGATGCCAAGTAAAGAGGAATAATTTCGAAGATGAATTTTCACAGATATATGCGTAAATGCATGGCCTTGTAAATGGTTATAGATCTTGGATCTAGCACATAAGCTATGCAACCCGCGAATATTTAGATACGTAAGCGACGTATTCGAGTCATTTCTATCATATTTTTTAAAATACACGAACAATTTTTATTTTTTAGGAACAAAGATTTTATGATAATTATTTTTTTATATAAAAAAATATCCATTTTATAAATTAACGTTTTAAATTGTTTAATGATTCAATATTTATAATCTTTTCCTTATTTCTATTTATCCAACGTAATATTTGCGAAGAACAAGAATAATAAATAAATAAATGTTCTTTCTTTGTAGAAATTGCGATTAATATGAATTTATATTTTAAATTATATAATATTTTAATATTCGTTTTCTTTTTCTTATTTCTATTTATCTAAATTAATATTTGCAATTGAGAATTAAGAGAAATAAATGATCTTTGCTTAAATCACTTAAATTAATATATGTATTTTCTCACTGTAAATAAAAAATTAAAGACTCGAGATCTATATCCAATTTTTAAAAATTTTTTGTTCATAAAATTGACTGGCATTTTATAATTTATTTATGGTAATCAGAATTTCTGACTTAAATACGCTGCGTGATGCAATAACAAATGCATTCGTATCAAACGTTGTTTTACGTTGCGAGAAATTGATTTCACGTCGATAGCCATGCAAAAATGCGATCTCCGGTCCTCGTCAAGTTCAATTGTTTTCAAGTTACGAAAAAGAGTTGGAGAGAAAGAAAGAGAGAGAATGTGTGTGTGAAAGGGAGGTTCCTACATGTCGCTCGACGATGTCACCGCTGCTAAAATCGGACGTCCGATTTTCGATATATATATATATATATATATATATATATATATATATATATACACATATACATATACATATACATACGCGTTAACGAACTTGTAACTACACATACGATTACACATTAGAAAACGATTCTATTATCTTGTAAGAATTACTTATGCTAGGACCTCTGTACAAACTATTAACAAATCCGTAAGAGGAAGAAAAACACTACTGTGTATAAGAACAGAATATTTATAAGAAACTAAAAGAAAAGATATCTTTCACTACTTTCAGCACTACTTTCAACATAATCATTGTAATAGCCACTCTATTTAAGGAATCGTTGAAAAAAAATATGAGAGAAGAAATGAAACAACGGATTTCGTTATCACAGCTCGAGTTTCGTGCGAATTTTCCTGCTTCCCTGCCCATATTATATAACGAACTGACTTCATGGAGGATATTTATACAACAGTAAGAATATCCTATTGTAAAACAGAGTGCTATTGAAATAATCGCGTCAGAAATTATTTTTCTCAATGTTAATTTTTGTGGACGAGAAACATGTTACTTTAAGTATATTCGTTGAAGCCGACTTCATCGCGCACGTGTGCACGCGTATCATTTATCGACTTTGATTATCGAGCTTTCAATAATCCGCCTGTCAAGATATAATCAAAGCGAGCGGAGGCCAGTGTTAATAATTGAAGTATAAATTGTAGAATACGCCTCGAGTTGAGTTTTCGCGAAGCGCGACGCGAGTTTTATATATAAAAAGAATAAAAAGAAAGGAAGAAAATGCCATACAGAGTCGATAAATGAGCGCTGTTGAACTTCTGCTGAAGAGTTCAAAATTATTGAAGTTTTAAGAGATTTTTATGTACTTGCCCGATTAGAAGACGGGACAATTAAAAAATAATAGTATATAGTGTATGTGTGTGTGTTGAAACCTATACACATATACGACTCTGGTACCGTTTATTTGATTACTATATTATTATACACATATCTTTCATGTCGAGGATTTTCTTTCAAAGTAATGATTTTCAAACTCATACGCTCTGCAAAGTCGCATACACGCACACACACACACACACACACACACACACACACACACACACACACACACACACACACACACACACAGCCACACACACACCCACAAAATTTACACAATTAAATTAAATATTGTTATACTATAGTCAAATGCTTTGACTATATTGAAACTATACTATTGATATTTCATTTACAATCTTATTCTTATGCAATCTTCAAATTTTACAAGTATCAAAAATGCTCTGTTAGAGTTTGAGAAACGTCGCGTCGTAACGTTAACAGTTACAACATCAAATAGCAAGGAATACTGCACAGTCTAACGAGTCCACAAAACTAAGAATTAAAAAAAGATATATTTGTATCTTTTAAAATCCATAACAATGTATCGCGCAATGTTATCTGAGAAATCCAAATATGGGCTTCGTTTGGCCGAGCTTGTTTTCCTCTTCCAGTCCTTTCATAAGAGCTTCGTTTAGTTTGAAACTGATATCCTTTCCAACCTGAAAATCCAGAGTCAAAAACAAATTTGACAAAATTCGCCTTTAACCATAATATATAATAATTAAGACATATAAAAACTGTTGTCACCTGCAACATCTTAATCAAGGTACTAGGCAACAAGCTGCCGTATCCCAGCTTGACTACAGACGTCACCTTGCCGTTCGGCATCACGGACATAAGGATACTAGCGGTACTGCAAGATTCTTCTTCCGACGTTGGATCTATCACGAAGTTGTCACCAATCTGTTAGAGGAAATATCTTTAATTGCCGAAAATGTACAAATTAATAAAAAGTTACAAAAAAGAAAAAAGAAAGAATTGAATCTTTTTATAGAAATACCATAAGCAATAAACGGTTTCCTTATTGTTTCTTAGGTAAATGTATGTTATAAAAACATCATAATTCATTTATTTAAAAAATGACTAAAGATTATTGCATACCTTGCATACTGTTAATACCACTGGATAATTTGTGACATCTAGTTTAATACAGTCGTAAGGATCGTCTGATATCTGAATATCTGGTTCGCCACCGTCGAGTATGGCTATGATCACCCTTGGAATTTCAGTATTGTACAACGCCGCCTTCACCGCAGCACCAACAGCGTCGAATAGATTTCCACCGCATTGAAGAATCTGAAAAAGTGAAAAAGATGAGGCAGAGTTTTAAATTCGATTTTAGGTTTGCTCTTTTCAGCTGATTTTTTTGCACGTTCTTTCCTCTTCTTCTGTCCATATGATTGAAGAAATAATGCAAAAAATTTAGTTAAATAGAACAGAGTATTGTATTATAGTATTGTACCAATATTACTTACCAAAATGTCCACATATATTTTCCAACATTTCTGATGAGGTATTATACACAGCTGCTTTAAATCAAAGGCGTCTGGTGTCTGATAGGCCATGGAAAGGACATTGCTAATTTCAGTCGCCAAATCGTCTCCACCTTTGCCTTCGAATGCCGGTGTAGCATTAGCAGAACTAGAAAAAATATTAAATCAAAGTACCTTCGATGTTAATATAAACTATAAGCTCAAGGTGTATACATACCAGTCTACGAAAAATTCCAATTTGCCTTCCTCTGGTCGTTCAGCATACGGTGTGTCAATTTCAAGTTTTACGCCAACTAATACATCTGTAATATTGCCTATACGTAATCTCGCTGACCCATGGGTATGCTTCATCAGCTTAGTTTCGATCTCGATAGGACGATACTGATACCTGGATCGACCGTCATTTCTGAGATCAAGCTGAAATTAACAAATTAATTGTTACAATAGTACGTGTCAAAAGTTCCAAAGATTTAACTGTTGGATATAAAAACTATAAGCGAAAAATGTTGTTCGAATAGAGTTAATTTTTATCTGTAATAATGTGAGATTATCAGAAATAGATTAACAGCACCTGACTGACGATTAATAGATTAGCAATAACAATTAGTGTTCGAAAATAATAAATACTAGCAAAGCATGCATAGGAAACAATTGCACGTGCACGTAAACACTGTTGAAAGTACTCACATCAATCCCGTGAATAATAAATGTCTTCTCACCCAAACTCAAAGGGGTTTCGGCCATCTCACAGAGATTAACTTCGTCAATTTAATGTTGATTCTAACTCGGAAACGCAATCACAAAAATAAAGTATTTTTACCAATATCAGTTGTGTTTACCACTAGAACAGGATGATTGAGGACAACATAACCTCACTTAAATTGAAAAATAAATAAAATCGCCCGTACACTAGCGCCAATACATCCATTTTCGATTTGGGAACTATTGTATACATATAGCTACTGACGATAAAATTAATAACGTGATTCGATTTATAAAATCTATGATCTCGTAAAAAAAAAATTTATGATAGCAACTTAATATAAAAAAATATAAACTTATTATTTAACATATTTTGTAATTATCTAAAAATGATTCTGAAAACATCCCGGGAAAAAATATTTTTATATTCAAATATAAGTGCAGTTTTTGCACAATAGATTTATTAGCGAACTATAATAAAATTATCAACTTCCAATAAATATAGATATTAACTGCGTTTAAAAGAAAAAGCAGCTTTATAACTATTATAAAATTCTTTGTTCTTACCATTGTTTCTTTATGGATCTAAATATATAAATAAGTTATACCAAAAAATTTTACAAGAATTTTACAACAGTAGATTCTTTCCTTTCTTTTTTTTTTAATACAACATATTATGCAAAAAAATCATGCAAAATCAAAAGTACGTTATAATCAAATTACTCCCAGAAAAAAATATTTTATACGTAATTATATAAAATTATATACAGTTATATATAATTTTATATGTAAGTTTATATATAATTGAATATAAATACATATAATTATATACAATTATATAAAATTACATTTTTATATAATTTAATATAATTTAATATAATTATATACAAAATATTTTTTCCCGGGCTTATATACATTTTTCAGATTATGTGGCAAATGCAATTCAACTCATAGAGGCCCTTCACCCATCGATTATAATCGATCGTCCTTTTTTTTTTACTTCAGCAAGTTCACATTATTTATTGTAATTTTGATATCAAAACAATATTGATATCATTTTAACGTTAAATGATGACAAATAATGTCAGCTTGCTACTACAATCCTTCCATTTTCCTTTTTTCTTTAATTATTAAATCAATATACTATACAAAAAAAGTCATAAAATATATTACATTCAAATTACGTTTTCCATATAATTTGGTAAAAATAAGTTAATTTATAGAGGCCCTCCACCACATCCCCTGCCATCCGATCGGCAGTCCTCTTTCCTTTACAATGTCATAAAATGGGATAATTTTCGTCCAAAATCAAAATAAATTTAGACAAATTTTGTATATGTACAATACAGCACGCAAAATCTGGACATATGACATGTTAAAAATATATAAAGAATTGATCAAACTATCTTAAAGAAATTTTACGAGTTTTATATCATGATTTTGGATATATGTGTTGCATACGTATTTTTATAATTTGTGTCAAAGTTTCTGGGACGAAGGCTTTTATTCTGTAACTCTTAATGATAATATTGATGTTGTTATATTGTCGTTGCGTAGTTTTTTTATGTATGAAATCTGTTCAACGACAATATTTACAGTTACTGTCGTTAATTGTAAGAATTACAAAATAGAGGCTAGAGTTACCCTATTTTATGATATATTTCTTTACATCTTTATTACTTATTTTACATTATTTTTTATACAATTTACTTTATATTATACATATTACAAAAAAATTACATTATAAAACTGAAAATATTATATAATGTACAATATGTATACGCACAAAATTTCTTTTTAACATGAAATTACAGAGAAAATATTCGGTATGCATATAATAACACAAAATTCTCACGATCGCGATGTAAAATATGGCTATACATCCAATCGACAAATGATTATTACTAGCATTTATTAATTATCAAATATAACTGCAAAATTTGTTTTGCTTTTTTTTAATTTACGCGAGCAATCGTGACCAAAAAGATTGTTAATAAATTTATTATATATATCTTTCAATAAAAAAGAATGTCAATTAACTATATATATGTAACTTATACATTTTACAAAAAAAATGTGCAACATGCAAAAAAGTACACAAAACTTCGATACAAGACAATGACAAATAAAACGATCTAATCAATTCCGATACATATAATTTTTAATTCTGCAACGCGTCTGCTATAATTATTATTTCTTTATATGATAATAAAAATGTTATTTAACGACTATTAAATGTGTTGCAATATCACATATCTATGATTCAAATAATATAATGAACCAAACGATTTAATCGCACGTATATAAATTCTATTTCTTGCTTTACTTTCAAGAGAGATAATTTTATGAGTCTCTAAAAAATCGCGAGGAAACACTGCGTTAAATAGAAAATAAGTTCAACAATGAGATCAGATTACTTTTTCCGAGTAAGATGTTGGATAGTATCCGATAGAGAGAAGAATGATCTCCACAGAAAGCGAGCTGTGCTCTGCTTCACGTCAACGCGAGAGAAAGTTAAGTGATTCGTTGGACACTAAGAATTCCGTTACAGGAGGAAACTAATCCCAAATTTTTTAGACTATTCTTATAATAGCGCCCATCTTGGTAACGAATCAACAATTGTCACCCTTTTCCAAATTTTTGCAAATAATGCAAATATTATGAATATTATGAATTACTGAATATTTTAACGATAACTTAATCGATATTAATCACAATTTCATAGTACACAAGATTAAGATTTGCATACAAAAATAAATTCTTCAAATTATTACGAAATACAGCATTAACTAAATAAAAAAAACATGGATAGAATGTTTATCGAAGGATAGTTACAAATGATTATATTTCAATGTAATAAAATACATACGTCATTATAATTTATTACATATGTGGGTACAAAAATTCTCAGGTACCAACTGTTCAAGATGAATCGAACCGATAACAATGAGATTTAATTTTTATTCATTTTTTCATCTTATTTTGATTTTATAATCGAATATTGTTAATATAAAATTTATATCAATCTATTTTTGTCTGCAACATTTATTTAAATGTAGTCAAGTAATTAAATAGGATTATCTAAATAATTAATGTAATATTTAGATAATTAGAACTATCAAAATCTTATTGATATCGGGGTACCCAATCGATTCGTCTTGAATCTTTAAGTACTCACATTGTTAATTATGTCCATTATATTATTACAATAAATCATTTAAATAAATATGAATCTTTTTGATAAAAAATTTTATCAGATAAATAGAAGCTAAAAATTTTTTGCATAATATATAAACTGCGTATGTATTTTATTATATAAATTAATCTAAAAAATTTTTTAATTAATTAATGTTTTGGAATAAAGGGATGTCCAGTGCCTGAAAACAGTTTCTTAAAAGAAACTAAAGATTAAAATAAAAAATAAAAATAAAAAATATATTCATTTGTAACCACATTTTTTCTTAAAGAAATCGCAAAATCGACTACAAAACTTGTAATTTTAATTTATTTAATGTAATTCACTTATCTATAAACAATTGCTATCCATGTTCAATCTGTTAAATCTTATTATTGTCAAAGCAGTATTAATTAATGAAAGAATATTTAATGAGAAAAATTAATTCTTGGCTCAGAATATATTATATTTAATTGACTTCATGATTAGACTTACAAAAATTATATTGCCGTTGCTATTAACTTATTGCCGAAATCAGTGCTTTCAAGGAATGTAAAAAAAAAACTCTTAATTAATTAAGCGATTAATTTTAGCCCTGCAATGGTCGAAAACCCCAGATTCAATAAAGCATCGAAATAATATTAAGCATCTCGGATGGATGCTATGCAAACTGACGAGAAATAACTTTCTACGTTAAAAATCATTACTCTCCATTGGTACGAATTACAACGTTGTAATGTCTACTTTTTTTTACATGTCTACTTGATGCTAGAAACAGCCATGATTGAGCCCCAATTATCGTATCTAACATGAAAATAACGCAATATTTGCATTAGCTTTTAATAATTTAATATATTTAATACAAAACAATTTAAGAATAGTATAATATATTATGGTATATGTGTGATTCTATAATTTAAGAATTCTTTAATAAATACTGAATATATTTCACGAGTTCGTTTCATCATAAGAGCGAGATAAAATAAGGCGTTTCACAAATTTTATAATAAACTCTCATATAAAATTTGGAACTTCGCTATATTAAATTTACTTGTGACATCGTGATATCTAATTGAATAAAAACTATATACACATACTGTCATTGTCTTCAATTAATTATTATAATATATACCACATAAACTATAACTTTTAATACGAAATTTTAAATGAAGAATTTCCCGAATTTTTATTAACAATCTTTTGCTAACAAAAAAATCTTAAAACCTCCCAAAACGAACGTTTATTAAATGCGCATCGATCTTTGTCTTATTAATTGCATCCGATTACATAATAAACATTATTTACAATTATCCAAATTATAATTACAATACATAGTATTTCCAATTATACAAATGATACAATAATATACAATTATTATTACATAAATTACAAATACAATACAAAACATTTACAAAAATATGTAATATTTTACATTATCTCTAAGAATTGATTTAAATTAATAATATATTGGGTCATTTAAAAAGTATCATTCAAAAATTGAACAAAAAACCGCGGATACTTTTTAAATGACCTAATAATTTTTAAGTTGTTATTATTATTAAAAATATAATAACAAATGTAATTATATATTATTATATTTTATATAATAATAAATAATTTAATATTTAATACAATAATAATAATAAATATATCGTCGTACTATAATTATTATAAGTTATTAAACAAGTTATTATTATTTTGTCTATAATAGAAGTTTTTCAACTCTATTTTTCAACTCATTATTCAATTATTTCATTCAATTATTAACACTCCTACCTGACCGAATCCCTACCTACCCGTATTCCAGGCTATATTCCTACTTGTCCATATTTTTCCGTATTTTTCCATTTATCTATTTACCCACATATTTCAACTTAATAAAAAAAGTCTTTAATTAAAATGGCAACGCGATATGCAACTTAGTAAGGGAACTGATTTGTTGGTTAATCCAGCAAAGTACCTAAAATCTACTCGAGCGATAAATCTAAAAATTAGAGTTTCAAATATACGCACGCGATTAGAATGTAAATTGTATCTTTCCAGTCTCGTACATATATAAGAAAATAGAGAAAAATATAAAGGAAATCAAATAAATAAATAAATAAA